CGACACTTTGCCCGAATTTTCGGACCAAATTTTCCTTCACTAAAAGACACCTCCAATCTACAAGGTAACCACCAGTTGATGACTAGGACTAGTGCCCTTCTTTTGCACAGCTTCTCATTTCCATTCTTATAGAACTACGGCAACTATGATAAAAAGAAGAGGTGGACCTCATTTTCGAGTAGACGTCGATTTTCGGAATTTTTGCTTCTAAAGGATGCAGTAGGGATCAAAGGAGGTGGTAATTAGAGGCTGCTAACTTTGGTAAATAAGCTGGGTACGGTCGCATTCTCTGATCGAGATCCATGATCTTTTGGCGTAGCCTGACCCTCACATACAGTCTTCGCATTGCCACCAATACACACTGAAATCTTTATCCCATGCACATCTGCTTTTGGCTAAGCAATCTACTTTTCTGTTTGAGAGATCCTGCGAGGGACATGTGCATGATGTACGCAAGGACTCCACCACTCGCTACCAACCACCACAAGATCTCACAAATGTTCTTCCAGTGTGTACAAGGCAAAAAAACTCAGTCACGGTCATTCGGTATGACTTGTCAGACGGGTCCAACTCATGAGGCATCCTTCACAAAAAATTTTCCCGATAACCGAGATTGCGGAGAAGCATGGCAGTTGTCAGTTAGGTGGAGCCTAGAGAGGTTGCCAACTTACTGGTGGTTACGTTCGGCTGCGCCTCAAGAAGCTTGAGTGAAAGCCATCATTCTGTGCTGGTGGCCGACCTACAGGGGGGGGGGGAAAGTCACTTTTCTTCATTGACTTTCGAGGCGCTATAAGTTACACTTTATCAAATTCTGATCGGACATTTTTACCACCATATTAAAGAGCATATTAAATACTATCATGATACTCCGCCACAGCCTTCTGGAGGAGCGCCATCGAGAGATTCTGCCACGCGACCGTGAGTGGGTACCTGAGTTCAGCGAGATCGTTATAGAAAAAGACCAAAAAAAACATTCGAATGTTTTTCTATTCTCTTGATTATTGAGACTGTCCTCTTGGGTTTCCGCAAATGGATATATCGTGACTTTGTGGAAGTTTTTAATTCACTCAGAGATCGAGGTACTTTTCGACCTCTCCCATATCGTGAAGTTCCAATAGGCCATCTCAGACCGTACGTCGAGGAAAGCCAACCACGTAACGTTGTCGTCGAGAAAGATATAGCCTGCATGGCAGAGGGTAGCTTTTGATCAGCGATTCCAAGAAGGACTTATGTAATTTAGTCAATGTATACGGGGGGGGGCAAAAAAAGTCACTTTGACCGAGTCACATATCAGCAAAGTTTTTGCAGCCCAGACAGAGGACGTGGATACGAGTACCAGGCGGAAGATACCAAGATTTCCTTTT